TTAGCAGAAAACTTTTGCAAATAGTTAAATGTTGACAGTTTTGTATCAATATGATCAGATGATTCAGAAAGAAAATCAGTTAAGTCAATTCCAATAGTGGTTCAGATTTGGGGGGGGGGATTATCCCCAGTTCTTGGAAATTTAGGAGGTTTTTTTTTTCTGTCAAAGGTGAAACTTCTTTGTGAATGCTACTGTAAATTCATTTGAGCATTACATTTCTGTCTGCTTATGCATTAATTTGGTAGACCACAACATCACAATAAAAGTTAATATTCTTGCTAAAAGCACAGAAGAGTACTTAGAATTTAATGTGGTACCCATATAAGTCATAATTACCTCCAAACAGGCTGCAGTGTTCTGTCAATTGAAATAGAAACTTAAGTTGTTAAAATAATCAACACTTTTATTTTTTAAATATACGCAGAGTAACTGAACGGCAAACTATTGTGATAAATGGTTGACTGCAAAAAAAATACTCCGGCATGGCAGTACACTTTCTCTCTGCCCATCATTAGTTTGGTTTAAGAGTTTAAGCCTTCAAAGAACTACTTTATAAATCAGCCAAAGTGTCTTTTTAATACAAGGGTGCTATAAATTTTTTTTAAGAAAAAACAAGTTGCCTAATTTTGCTTGCATTTTATTCAAAATATGCTTGAAATCTGTAATCAAAGAATTCAACAAACGGTGTGCCAAAAAACTTTAGCCTTTGAATTTGTTGGTGAATTGCAGTTAGTAAAAAAAGCCGGTAACAGGAAGACATTATCATCTTTCCCTAAAAACGTGAAGGAAAATGAACAAATTATTGAAAGCTCGATAATATGCAAGATTTAATTCTGAAATTCTGTAAATATACTTTGGATATCCTTATGGAAAAAAATCTTCTGATGACTTTCTTAATTTTAATTAGGTAAATGTGTAGTCTAGAATGGAATAAAATGAAATTGAGAAAGCCTTAATTTTGCAGCATCTAAATTTGGTAAAACAGAATAGTAGAAACAACTTACCTGAGTTTTAGGCTGTGAGCCTATTTGTCAAAGACATTCTGAGTGGAGGGACTGCGAACTGGAAGGCTGAAATATTTACACTTTCCATATGAAAGAAATAGAATTGAGTGTATCCTCCATTTACCAGAATTTGTTCTGAGCTCTATAGATATTAAGCACTTGTGGACAGAGTGTTTCTCAAATAAAAATATAGTTTAAGGGATGTTTATTAAACATGAAAATGAAACTTTAAAGAAGAATGCGGGCAATTTTATGAAAAAATTAAAAGTCCATATTAAAATACTATATTCTTCAGAGAAATACCAATGATAACATGGGATTAGATACATGTAAGAAACTGATCAGTATATATACCAGAATATATACCACAAATAATTATTTTACTTGTTTTAGTGTTAAAATACTATTTTAAAAGTTTGGTTTTTTAAAAAGCTTCAGTGTGCACAAATATGTTTTTAGGTCCACCATAAGAAACCAATTTATTGGATAATATTTCAAAAGTACATAGGTTTAGTTATTTCTAGCATTCTCATTCTCAGAAGTGTTTGTTTGGACTGTAAATTATATGATCCAATCCAGATGTCAAACTACATTTTGCATGTTTAAGACTAATTATTAGAGACTTCTGGATTAAGATGGCAGGTTGAAATTTGATTGAAGGATTTATATCCCCTTGTATATATCGAAATGAGAAAAAGAATAATAACATACAAGAAAAAAATATCCAACAGCAGCCAAGCAAGGGAAGATGATAATCAAATGCAGTAGACTTCAAAATTTGTTTTGGCCACAATGGAAATAAGCAGAAAGTAAAATAGAGCGATTGACAGTAGAATAGTGGTTATTTACAAGGTTCTGAGATCTTGTCTACAAAATTACTGAAGCAAAATGCGCCCCCAAAATATTATCTTAGTACAAACCAAAGCAGTACAAATGTTTTCAAATGTGAAAAAATTCAGGAAACATTTTACTAATAAGCCCTTTTGGAGAAAAAACATTTAATAAAATCCAGACATTTAAGAGATGAATCAGCTGAGAAATTGAGTCTTTTGTTTAAATATATGCATAAAAAGATACCTTGAAGGCCACTAAAAACCATTGGAAGACAATATCTTGGGGCCATAATCCCAAGTTTAAGCAATTTTTACCCATTTTTCTCCTGGAAGGAGGAAAAATAGGGCAGTTGTTTTGTGCAAAACAACCAATTTTTAAAACTAAAAATTTTTTTCGTGTTCTTGAATCTTCCTGCAGAGATGTAAAAAAGATGATTTTTTTACTTGTTTGTTTTGAATTATGTTTCCATTTCAGAATCTTAGCTCATTACAAGCTAACTTCTAGTTCACAGGCAGTTCAAAGCATTTAATAATTTAAAAGATTTTACTGTGCATTGAATCTTGTGGGTCAGCTACTCATGGTTTATGAGTTTCTGTATCAAAATCTCTGGAGGTAGGGCCAAGAATCTGTGTTTTATGAAAGCCCTTCAGTTAATTCTCATACACACCAAATTGTAGTTTCCAGGTGATACTGATGCTTGTGATGTGGTGACCATCATATGTGTTATGTATATATTTAAACAAAAGACTAGGTTGATTGAGGACTTTTATAAAATTAGGCACATCCTTTTTCCTATTTTCTTTCCTTGTGCTTTCTGCTATTTTTTCTATTATCCAGGTTTACAACATTCATATTCTGTCCCCTAACAGTAATTCTCATAGTTGTTTAAATTGGTTCTATATTTAAATCAATCCTTATCACCCGTCATTTTACCATGGCTTTCTCCATTTCTCAGCTGATTCATCTCTTCAATGTCTGGATTGTATTAAATGCTTTTTCCCCCAAAAGGGCTCATTAGTGAAATGTTTCCTGAACTTTTTCATATTTGAGAACCACTGCTGGAAGAAAGGAGAGTAGGAAAGAGACTCACCTAGAAGTGGTTGCCCTGCCTAGGCCTTTGATACACTAGAAGGAGCGAGAAGGGAATGCTGTGTTCTGCAGAGCTGTTTTGGAGGATGCTGGCCCCCGGTTTCCACCTGGCTGTCACCTGTAGACGTCAGAGAGGATATTGTAAATAGTAACCACAGTAGAGCTAATAGTTACTGAGTGCTCAATAACCAAGTTACTGAGGCACTGTCCTAAATGTTTTCCATACAGTACCTCATTCATTTGTTCTGAGGCAGGTACTCCATTTCGTAGATGAGGAAACTGAAGGAATAAATTTGTCCCATAGCTAGTAAGTACCAGAGCCAAATACAAGCTGGCCGACGCCAGAGCCTGCACAACCACATCAGCAAAAGCTTAGGTGACACTGCTTAGTTCTGGAAATTTTTAAAAAACTATTCTATTCTCCCTAAGTGCAGTTTATTACTTCTAAAATTATTTCAAGCAGTTTAGCAAATCGTATAGAATAGGAAAGTTATAGATAAAAATGAAGAACAACCCAAAGAAAAAAAATGTTACCAAATTTGGAAAAATTAAACAGCTAATTCATGTGTGGGTTGTGTGAGAGAGTGCATGGGCGGGACAGTAATAAGGTGAAAGAAAGATTTAGGATTAAATTCAAGAGTAAATTACTGCATGGTTCCTCGAACATAAAACATTTAAGAACTATGCCTATTTATTGTTTTTAATCATTTAGCAAAAAGTGTTTAGAAATAGTATTCAAATGGATGTGTCCTGTATCAGCACCTTAAAACTAAGTGCATGAAGTTAAAACATAACTTCGGAAAAAAACTTCTAGGTTTAAAATAATATTATCCTGTTACTTTTTTCTAACAATCTACTCTTCTACTAAGCTCACATTAGAGTTAGAACTAGGAGAGATCTAGAAGTAGTCATTAGACTTTGCCAGATTACAAAGGATGTTTTGTTTTTTAATTTCTTGCCAACAAAAAATTATGTGCTATTTCATAAAGATTATTTAAATTTCATTACATTTCTATAGAATTTAATGCTATTGAAAATGAAAATTAAGGCATCTCCTTCCTCATGAATATCTAACTTAATTTAGATGATGAGTGGGAAATAAATAAGTAGAAAGTATACTTAGAAGATACAGATGTTAAGATAGGGTATACTGTATTGCCTTATGATAATTTAACTTCTAAGAAGAAAATATTAAGATGATAAAGCAGTTTAGATTCAATAATCAGATACTATAATTTTTAATGATAATATTCATTGTGTTGATTATTGATTGTGTAGCCTTTTCTCTAGTCTTAGGACTTAAGTAGGTGTTCTTAACCTTTTGAGTTCCCTTTAAAAATGCAATGATAGCTATGAATCCTGTCCTTCAAAAATAAATAGATCTAAACATATATTAATAACTTTTGGGTCAGATGCAGTGGCTCACACCTATAATCCTAGCACTTTGGGAGGCTGAGGCAAGAGGCTTGCTTGAGGCCAGGAGTTTGATCCCAGGCTGGGCAACATAGTGAGACCCTGTTCTCTACCAAAAAATTAGTTCCAGCTGCTCAGGAAGCTGAGGTGGGAGGATGACTTGAGCCCAAGATTTCGAGATTGCAGTGAGCTATCATCAGCCACTGCACTCTAGCCTGGGTGACTGAGTGAAATGCTGTCTCTAAATAGTTAATAAGTACATACATACATACAACTTTAAAAAGGGAAATGAAAGTTGTAGAATATGATTTTGTCAAAGGTTTTTCTAGACAACTTAATATATTTTTTCCTGGATCTGGCAACTTTCTACAAATGCAATACGTTTAGAGAATTGAGTTTTCTGGTTTTTCTGGTTAATTTAAAATTCTGCTTAACTTACATCATGTTTTATCATACTTTAAACAACAGTTTTCAAAGAACAGAATACAATAACTACCATTTATCATTAGTGATTCTGAAAGCATTTGGGTATCTTGTAATTACTTAGAAATAGTAGCAGACCGAATTTTTATTTAATCCTGTGTACTTCAATTTTCTCATTATTGAAGTTGTAAATATTTGACCTTACTGTAATAGGATTCTCTGATTTCTGTATTTCAGGATTGCCATTGCCTTCAGAAAGTGTTGATATTATTATTTCTGACATTCCATTTGGGAAAAAGTTTAAGTTAGGAAAGGACATCAAAAGCATTCTACAAGAAATGGAAAGGTAAGTTGTAGAAGTTATTTCCATAATTTTTTAGCTGCTGGGCATTTAACCAAAATATATCATAGCTCTTCAGTTAAGGTCTGATTGCATTGTAGTAATTTCCCATGGTTTTTGTAGCTTAATTTTCTAAGGTTTCAAGTCAAAAGTTTATAATTGAAATGTTATTCCATATCATCTTACACTATAAATTTTATTCTGAAAAATATTAATTTTTTATTGCCTGAAATTTGAATATATGAAATAGTGACCTATATTTCAGTCATGGGGCTAAAGCAAAAATTTAATTTGCTTCTAACCTTCACAAAAACCCCGCCTCCTATGTGTTAACCTCCCATATTTAACAGATGAGAAACTGGAGTCTGGAAACATTAACTTTCTCATAATCACACAGCAACTAAACAACAGAACAGAATTGTTATATAAGAAACACTCGGTAACACGGAATCACAACACCTTCATTATTGGCTGTGAAATGAAAATGCAGAAATATTCGTCTTATGGTTCCTAATGTTGACCTAAGGGAATATAATTCAATGGAAGTGTTTCTTTGAGAGGTTCAAACAGTGAGGCATGGATATATAGTTTTTTGATCCATTTAAGTTGGTAAAGGAGAGAACTTAGAATGCATACAGGAATGAATGGACGTGAATATAAGAGGTCAATTGATATTAAATTGTCTAGCTGGGCATTTGATGGAGGTGGACAACATAAATGTTCAAGAGCCTGCTATGTAACTGGTGTGTCCCCACTTGAAAAATGAGCATGTGTTTTGGATGGAGAAAATTCAGTGTCAAAGTTAACATTCTGTAAGGAAAATTAAAGCTTGACATGATGTCTAAGCGCAGCTAAGAGCCATCTCACATATTTTGTGAGCTGGGTGCACCTAACTTTTTCTTTTTTTATTTTTCCTTTTTTTTTTTTTTTGATTATCTTATTTCTAAGGAACTTTCCCTGCAACCCAGTTACCTAATTCTTGATATATTACCCTCTGAGTAGCACCTATAATTCAGACATTTTCTGAGCACCTATACTTTCTTCTGCCCAGTATCATGCCCCCCTCGAGCAGATTTTGCAACCTAATGGTAAAATCATTTTAGGAGCTTTTAAAAAATACTGATGCTCATTCTCCACTCCTCCCCACTGAGGCTCTGATTTAATTGATCTGGGGTAGGATCTCGGCATCGATATTTCTTAAAAGTTCCCAAGGTGAGTCTGTTGTGCAGCCAGGCTTGATAACTACAGCCTTTGACCCTAACTATTAATAGATTATTCTCCCTCTGTAACACTAACCTACTAGTAATATGTGTGACTAGTGACTTGCGTTTAACTTGGAAGTTTCCAGAGAGATAATGGCGTACCCTAACTAAAAATCCAATGCTGCATATTGTGGATATCTCCACGATTCAGTAGAGGGCAGTATTTTGAGTAGACAATCCTTTTTGGCACTAGTAAATTTTACTAGTCTAACTTTCTCTAGGCTGGGTTTGGTTTTTATTCCAGGTAAGTGAAAATGAGACAGTAATGGATATAACTGCCCTCACATTGTAGCAGTCAGTTCAGATATTTACCTGAGAATCAGGAAGGTGAATATTCAAGACTTCCTATGTAATTAGAATACTTCAGTAGGACCAAAGTGTATGTATTTGGATATATAAGGGACTTTTCCTTCTCCTGTGACCTGCCCCCAACCTTTACGTCTGACTTTTGATTTTTTATGGTTTGAGGTTTTGTGCAGGCAGTGTAGCGTAGTACAGTGGTTAAGAGTGCAGGCTTTGGAGCCAGACTACCTGGGTCCACTCTTGGCCCCATTATTTATATAGTTCTTCAGTCATAGGCATGTCGTTTAACTGTTTTGTGTATCTTTAGGTAATGCCTCATAGCATTGTTCTTGGATTCAGTGGATTTACAACTCTTAGAAGTGTCAGGCTCCTAGAAAGTGCTCAGTATCTGTTATTTCTCACCTGATTTTTTCACGGAAACCACTTCAGATCCTTTTGGGAAGTAGATGGGGATATATAAAAATATCTCTAAGTGCACTTTTCTCTTGATGCTTTACTGATAGTTTAAGGCCCTAGCTAGAAAATGGAAGGCATGGAGAATTGTGTTAGTGAAAGTAAGAAAAACGCAAGAAGTCAGTAAACCTGTTCATAATAGGTGGTGGAAATAGTTGGCACTGTATGTAATAAGAGCTGGATTCTTCCATGGAATCAGAATAGAAGATTGTCAGAAAATGATTGCTCTGGTGCCGTGAGCTCTGCACTCTCAGCTCAGTTATTTCCTCCTTTAATTTATTTAAGGAGTAACCATTTTATGGGTGCAGAGAGCATTGTGAGGAATTCAGAAAAGTATAATGTTCGAATTTTCCTCTCAAATATAACCAAGCAGAACATATGAGGAAAATTCGAAATTCAGCTTGCTCAGCTCGAAAGAAGGCACTGTGTGCCAAAGAGGCTTGAGATGCTTTCAGGAAAGAGGCAAGATTTCAGTATAATCTGAAGTTTAGACAAAATTAAAAAGGAGAGTGCATCGTGTTTTATACATACAGATGTTCAGTATTTCTTGAGTGAATATGCAGTAACAAGCATGTCCCAGAAACAATGAGTACACTAGACTGCCTGGAGCAGAGGATTTTGTAGTAGGTGGTTTAGACTTAATGTGTTCCATGGGCAAATACTTTAGGATTATTTGTGTCATCTACCTCTAATTTTGCAAGTTCACATGCAAAAGAGAAATCTCTTATGTTGTTTGCTACAGAATTTCCCCAACTTACTACCAAGTTTTTTTTTTCAAGAAATAATGTGTTATTAATATTATCACCATCAAACACTGCAACACTAGTTTGGAGGAGCACAATTTGGTAAATGTTGCTTTATAATTTCTGAATAGCTTTCTCAGTAAGAAATTGTATGTGTGTATTCATGGAAAGATGCCTAGAAGGATTTTTATCAAAACTGTTAATCTCTTAGTTGCAGGGTTTCAGGCAATTTTTACTTTATTATTTTCTCCATTATTTGAAAAAATTCACAGTAAATAAATTGGCAAATGTCTTGCTAGATATCTTGCCATGTATATATGCACAAGTAGATACATGTTTTTTATTGTGCATAAATAGAATCATCCTTAATTTGTACTGTAACAGGTTTTTCTTTTCCATTCAACACTGTGTCATGAATCTCCTTTCTGATCAGTTGTTATAATGTACATTATAATTTTCAATAGTTGCCACAGTATTACATTATACATATGTACCATTATGCAGCTGTACTATGGATGAACATTTAGGTGATTCCCAATTTTTTATTTAACAAAGAACAGTGCTCTGAACATCCTTGCACAGTTTTTCAAACTTACTGTCTGATGAAGTTATTTAAAACCATACTGCCTCAGTTTCTTCATCTGCAAAATGACGATGCTAATAGAACATACTCGAAAAGATAATTCTGAGGATTAAATGATATATAATACAAAGCATTTAAAACAGTGCCTGGCACATAATAAGTACTCGATAAATATTAGCTATCATCACCGTTATTATCACTACTATTCTACTACTTCTATTGTATGTTATATAATTTCCTAGAAGTGAGATTGCTTGGTCAAAGGTTATGCACATTTCATATTTGTGATGCGTTATTGCTACACTACTGTCCCAAAAAATTATACTAATTTCTGTCTTCAGGAGTACTCATTTTCTCATAATCCTGTCATTCTCAGTATGGCAATGCTTTTATCTTTGTTAATATGCCAGGTTAAAATATAGTATCTCATTTATTATTTTAAGTGTATTTGCCTTTTTGTGTTTAGAGATATTTACATGTTTTCTTGTTTCTGCCTTATGGTATATGAGCACATCTGTCCTCATCCCACCTCCTCTTCTCTCAGAGAAGAGGTTTCTTTCTTCCTGCCAAAATTTATCCTCTCAATTCCTTCCTCTTCAACAATCGTAGTCTGCCTACTTTTCATGGTTATCTTCAGCCTCTTCATCTCCTTGTTCTTTGAAGAATATCGTCATCCCTTCCCCAGATACTTTTGGAGGTCTTTGCATCTCCTTGTGTTGTATTAGGCCCTAGAGATAAAGAAGTGAGTGGGACAGACAAGGACTCCGACTATCCAGTGTGGGAAGACAGGTTGTTAATAAGTAAACAAACAGGATGATTTCAGAGCATGATTGGTACGATGAAGGAAATTAAAGAGGATATTTTGCTGGAGCATGAGAGGAAAGCAGGGGTTACTTGATATAGGTAGTCAGGAACAGCCTCTCCAAGGGGGTGATATTTGAACTCTGGGGACTGAATGATGAGAAGGCGCACAACGGAATGAGTAGTAAGTGCAGCATGAACAGCAAGGCCAGATGTCCTAAGACAAGAAGCACCTTGAGTTTGAGCAGCTGAAGGAAGATCAGTGTGCAAAGGAAGCAAGCAGGCCGTGAAGTTGGAAAGGCAGGTGAGGGTGAGGTCGTGTAGGAACCTTGTGTGCCATAGCAAGGAGGTTAGAATTTATTTGAAGTATGATGAAAGCAATGAGAGTTAGCCGGGATTTGCATTTGTCTTCTGTGTGGGAACTAGGAAGGGAGAGTGGGAGGGGTGACAAGAATGGAAACAAGAGCTGTCTGCTAGGAGACTGTTGTTGTGGTCCAGGCAAACCATGAATGAAGTAGATGGAGATGGGATTGTCTGGGTTTGTTGATGGCTTAGATGAGGGAAAGCTACCTAAGCTGCTTACGTCTTTGCTAGGTATGAGGCAGATTCCCTTTATCTCTTGATATCTCTAGCTGTCACCCTGTTTCTTTTTCCCTTTTCTGAGACAGAGTCTCACTCTTTCACCCTGGGTAGAGTGCAGTGGCGTCATCATAGCTCACTGCAACTTCACACTCCTGGGCTCAAGCAATCCTCCTGCCTCAGCCTCCTAAGTAGTTGGGACTACAGGCGTGTGCTTCCACGCCCAGCTAATTTTTCTGTTTTTTGTAGAGACAGGGTCTTAGTCTTGCTTAGGTTGGTCTCGAACTCCTGAGCTCAAGCCATCCTCCCACCTCAGCCTCCCAGAGTGCTAGGATTACAGGCGTGAGCCACCGTACCCAGCCTATCACCCTGTTTCTTGTCTATACAGCTGAACTTCTTGAAAGAATAGTCTACACTTGACATCTCTGCTTCCTTACCTTCCAGTCCATGCTCAACTCTGGCAGACCAGCATCTGCTCCTGACCTCAACTAGGACTGCTGTCCCTAGGCTCACTAATGACTTCCTATAATTCTCGCCACTTGTTAGTCCTGCAGCATTTGACACTGTTGAGACCATTCTCTTCTCAAAACTGTATTCCTTTGGCTTCCGTGATTGTCACTGCTGTCCAGATTTTCTCTTATGATATCTTTTTCATGGGCTACCTCCTCTATCTGTCCTTAAATGTGAAGTCTCTGCTTCATGGCCCTTTTTCTCTTATTGCTCTGTACCGCCACCCAGGCGATGCCATCCACCTGTTGAAACTCTTTTATCTCCACCTCAAGCCCCGGTCTTTCTAATCACCTGCAGGCTGGGTATCCAGCTATCAGGTGGAGTCCACACTTAAGCGCTCCTTAGGTACATCAGCATGTTCCAGGAGGAACTCTTCACTGTACCCCGGCACCCTGCCTCTGACTCACCCACCTACTGAACCACTGTTAGTGCTGCCTCCTCTCCACTTCCTCCTGTGTGTGCTGCTTTTTCTGCCTCCAACACCCTCCCTTGCTCCAGCCCCTCGCTGTCACTTTGCCTGGCTCACTCCTGCTTGTCCAACACGGGTATCTCACCTTCTGGGAGACTTTCCCCTCTCCCATGCCTGGGTTTGCGTTCCCAGGCACTTCACGCCTGCCTTGATTGTAAGTTAACGCACTCCTCGCTTGCCCCTCTCCTACTGGCCAGTCACCTCCTTAACAACTCACAGGACCCCGGAAAAAGTGTCTTCATCACTTTTTCTACATAAGTGCTATACAGACTTTGGTTGAATGATTGAGTAAGTGAATTCTACTCAAAAAGCTGACATTTCAAGGTCTGCCCTTTTCCTGATCTTTCCTTTGCCATTCATTTCTTTGTTCATGTCCTCCTCTTTCCTGATAACTTTCCTCTGCCATCGGCCTACTTACTGCCTTTAAAATATGCTGATTCTTTAGGATTCTGTCACTGCCTTTTCCTTTGTACAATCACTTATTAGAATGTGACTACAAATTACTTTGAGGCTTGCCTTTTAAGTAGAGTAAAAATAGATAATTAAAGCAGATTTGTACTAGGGAATTCATAATTACTATAATGAATATGCATTATGGAAGATAGTACCTAATTTATCAAAAATTCTTGTATTTAAATAGATAAAATTAAATTTCAAATTAAAAACACCAAACATTTTAAATGAAGTGGGATTGTTTGTTGTGTGAAAAGAAAGAAATACTCATACCAATTATCGTTTTTTGTCCCAGAGTGCTTCGTGTTGGTGGAACCATTGTATTGTTGCTTAGCGAAGATCACCACAGGCGCCTTAAAGATTGCGAAGAAAGCAGCATCCCTTTAAATTCCAAGAACAGTTACACAGATGAACCTGGAATTAAAAAGTGCTTGAATCTGGAAGAAACAACTGGCTTATCAGAGACAGAATTGTCTTCATTTGAAGCCAGTAACCAGGAGTGCCTAGAAAAAATGTCACCATTTGGCTCTTTGGTACCAGTAGAATGCTACAAAGTTAGCCTTGGAAAGACAGACGCATTCATATATAAGTACAAGAAGTCACACTCTTCTGCACTGTAGCAGGCTGGCTGCCATCAGCCAGGTTCAAGTCCTTACACGTTATCTGTACAGCAGGAGAAGTTTGCTGGTCTAGGATTCGTTATAGTGCCCAGAGTTCCAAGTAAGCAAATTCCCCCTAAGGCAGGAGGTGTGGCTGATTAACCACCTTCTTAGTAAGAGTTGCTGCTTTATACTCTAAAGTGCTTAATGTTTTTAACAAAGAACAGTTAGTGAATATTTTTAAAAGACTCTTAAGTTTTATATTCTTTCAGAATGTGAAAAGATCTCCTCTGTCGTACATTGTTTCTGAGCAAAAGTTTCATCTTCAAAATGAGTTTTCAAGGGTTACGTAAGTGTATCACAATCAATACAAAGATGTTGATATTTTAATTATCAGATTTTTAGAAATACAGAAACTTTTATAATGTAACTTCTTTTGATATTTAACTTAATTTTTGAGTCTATTCTTCTCCATTGGAAAGAAAATAATTTGTATTTCCAATATGTTTTATATGTCTCATATTATGTAAAACGTCAATGAGAATAATATGAATTAAGCCAGTATCTTTCAACATAATGGAAAATGACATTTGCTTTTTTTTTTAAAAGGATTAATAAATTGTCACCTCACCCTTATTTCTAGAAATTCAGTATGTTTCTTGTGTTCATTACCTGGGAAAAAGAAACAGTAAGTTGAGGAAAATATATGCTCTAATTTTTTCGATAGCCTGATACAGTGGTTCAACTTGTTGGCTACTTTATTGCCATTTGAACAACCTTCCTATGCTTGGGAAATTTCGTACCTGTCAATCTCACCTCTCCAAAGCAGAAGCCAGAAAATTTGCTTGCTAGCCAGGGTGTTGTACATAACCTAGGCCCCTGGTATCAAGGTACACTCACCTTGTGCAAAGTGTGGCATTTGTTCCCAATGGCAGCAACAAAGTGGTCTTCATCAGAACATCTCTATCCTGAGGTTTCTGCGGTGCTTCTGGCTATGTAGCCTCGAAGGTTATCTCTCTGGCCTTCCAAGAAAATTCTGAAAGCTACCTACTAATTTTAATACATTTCATTTTAGATAAAACTCCAGATTCAGTTGTTAGCAGGTAGGACTCTGGTATGGGGGTTGATACTCGGAGGGGTTTCAAGTAACAAGCCCCCAGAAATGTGAATTTGTATTGGTTATCTTATCCGGCCTGGTCGGGTTAAAGGCAGTGAGGATACAACTGGTATTATAGAAAGTTTATGACATGTGATGCTGAAAGAGTTTATCATTACTGTGCTTACCTGATGCTTTAGGAAACATCAAAGACCTGAGGAATATGAGCAGTATGTGTGAGCTGTCTGTTTTTGCTAGAATTTGACAGCGCAAAGAAAAAGAGCAAGATTCCTATAGTCCTTGCTCCTTGGGTTGAAGCAGTGGTCTCAGCCAGGGATGATTTTGTCCCCCAGAGGACATTTGGCAATGTCTGCAGACGTTTTTGGTTGCTACAATTTAGTGGGGAAGAGAGATACTACTGGCAGCTAGTGGATAAACTGGATAGAGAGATTAGGTTAAAGAGGTAGTGAGTGACAGATGGAGGTGGTGGGTCAGATCAGATAGGGCCTTGAAGACTTTGGCCTTTACTGAAAAGCACCGAAAGAGTTTTTAACAGGTGACATCTAACATATATTAAAGGATCATCGTCACTGCCATATTTCAAATTGTAAGGAGGAAAGGGTGAAAGTAAATCATTGGGAGTTTTTTGCGATAATTCAAGCCAGAGAAAATGGTAACTTGCCTCAGGATTGTAGCAATAGAAAGGTGGTAAAAGGCAGATGGATTCTGGACATATTTTGAAAGTAGAACGAGCAGAATCTGCTGATGTGTTAGATGTGTAGGGTGATAGACGGAGAGGAGACAAGAATGACCACAGGATTTCTGCTAAGAACCTGGAACGTGGAGTTGTCAACTGAGAAGGGAAAGGCTGTGGGGGTTGGTGGGAGATACCAGAAGTTCAGTTTTGGACTCGCTAGTCTAGACAGTCTAATTTAGACTTGTCTAGACAGTCTAAACTAGCAAGTCTTGTTTACACTTGCTGCTAGACAGTTTTGGACTTGCTAATTTTGAAATGTGCATTAAACATTAAGTGGAGATGTTGAGTAGGCAATTGAATATGTGAATCTGCAGTTTAAGAAAAAGGTCTACTCTGGAGATGTATGTCAGGGAATTGTCAGTATTTAGGTGGCATAAAACTGGATGGGATCACCAAAGGATCAACTGTAGGGGAAAAAAGAAGAGGACCAGGGCTGAGCCCTGAATTTTTCCAATCCTAAGAAGTTGGGAGAAGAGAAGGAATCTCCAAGAAGACTGAGATGGAGCAAACAAGTGAGGTAGAAGGAAAACCGAGTGTGGTTGGCTCAAAGGGATATGAGCAAAGGGTATGGAAGAGGAGTGTTCAACTCTACAGATGCTGCTAACCAACCAGATAAGAGTAGGACTGTAAGTTGACCACTGGATTTAGCAATGAGGATGTCATTAGTGACCTTGACAGTGGGGGTTTTGGAGTGGAGGGGGGAACAAAACCAGACTGCAGTGGGCTTAAGAAAATGGGAGCAGAGCTGGAGGTAGTGAGCAGAGGTAGCTCTTTCAACTAGTTTTTCAGAAAAGGGGAGCAAAGAAATGGGGGTATTAAGTTTGTAAGGCATGTGGAATCAAGAGAATGATTTTTTTTTTTTTTTTAAGTTGGGAGAAGTAGCAGCATGTTTTTTTTTTATATTGAAAGAAAAGTTCCAGGAAAGACAAAAAGTTGATGCAGTAGGAAAAAGGGGATAAGTGCTGGCTTGATGTCCTTGAGTAAGAGGATGGAATGCAGCCCACAAGTGGAGGAATTAGCTGTAGATAGGAGCATGAATAATGTATCCACGGTTGAAAAGGCAGCATGCAGACATTTCTGCTATAGTATGATAAGTACGCTCCTGAAGATTTTTTCATTCTCAAATTTATGCACTAAAAATAACAGAATTTATAGGGAAAAAAAGTGGGGTTGGGGCAGACCATTCCGAACCTATCCAACTTTGCAACCCGAGCACTAACAAAAACTCCAATCTTAATAAAAATATCAGCACAGTTAAAAAGACATTCCTACTAAATAAATACATCAGTAAATAAAGGACTTCACCTATTCAAGAAAAGGGCAAAGCACCTTGACAGAATGGGGCATAGGAAGGGTAGAAGCTGCCGGGTTGCACAATCAGCACTGTCTGCCCGGCCAAGGCACGATCTGTGCCCAGCAGAACCAAGAAGAGCATGTGGCGGTGGCGTCATGTTAAGTGCCATATTCTGCAGCTTGCGCATTCAGCCCATTCCACTGGTGTCCTTCGCATCCAGCTGTGCTCAGCCGGTGATACAAAACAATGTGCTAAAGGGAAACAAATCACTTGTGAACCAACCCAATTTCCACATTGTGGTGACATCATGTCCCTACTTGGCAATATTTGATTTAATGCCCATTGTTACAGAAACATGCGTTGTAGGAAAACAGACTAGAAGTGGGAGCAGATGCTGGAAAGTGGGCGGATGTGGTGGTGGTAGACTGTGGAAGTTCTCTTCTGACTACTTCAGTTTTCTCAGTGAAAAACTACGTGATAATTTATCCAGTTCCTGAGTCTATAGTTGGAATAGCTACCCCTAGCAATTGCGGAATTCCCATAATGGCTTTTTGACTCATGGAGTAAGGCTGTCCATTATTGGAAGAGCCAGTATCAACTCCTTAGTCCCTCCCTGCCTCCCAAAATAGACAAAAGCAATACCATAATCTTTGTAGGGCCTGCAGATACTAGTGCCATCAATAAGAAAGGCACAGATGCTGATGGAACTCGTTGGCATCTGAAAGCAGCCTACGTCACCTTTGGGTTTGCTACTCGGACTCATTTACTTTTAATAGAGGCCTGGGCAAGGGAAGGCCCTCCAGCTGCTCTGGCCCCACTGTCAGCAGCTCCACATTAATGCCCGTGTGGCCCAGGAGAGCTAATGGTGCTCAGAGCATCTGTGGCAGACCTGGATGCTGCGTGGAGCCTGCGGCAAATCCCAGGAGGGGAAGCACAGCTGCAGCCTCTTAGCTTTTGGAGCAAAGCCAAGCTTGCCTGTGCAAGTAATTATTTTCCTTTTAGAAATAACTCTCGGTTTGCCACTGGGGCTTGCTACTGAGAGCTTGACCATGGGACAATAGGTGACCATGTGACCTAAACCGCCCATCTTAAACTGGAAGTGATTTGATCCACCAAGCCCAGCCCAGCAGCACACCCTCAGCAGGTGGAAGTGGTAGGTATCTGCACTGTGCTCCACCCAGAATTCGGTTGACTGAATTCACAAGCTGCAGGGGCAATCGGTGCCTTATCCCCTCAGTGTGCCCCCTGCCATGCCTCTACCCCTCCCTCACAGCCATGGTCTCATGGGGAATTCCCAAGGAGCAGGTCACCAAGGAGGAAAAAAGTCAAATCTGGCTTACAGATGACTCTGCAAGTTTTGCTGGCCCCAGAGAAATTAAACTATAGCCCCACTCAGGGGGAGGGACAGTGGGGAAAGGAAACCCTCCCAGGGAGCAGAACTTTGAGTGGTCCACATTGCACACTTTGCCTGGGAGGAGAGATGGCCCAAGAGACAGATCCACACTGTGTCATGGGCAGTGGCTAACAATTTAGTTGATGGTAAGGGACATGAAAGAAGGTCTGGGGGAGAGGAATGTGTATGGACATCTCATAACAGGCCCCCAAATGGGAGAATATTTGTGTCTGATTGGAATGGTCACAAGAGACCGCATTGTGGAGAGGTTCTAAGTATGTAGGTGGAAGCTTCCCCGCCCTGTGCCCTGCGGATGTCAGCCTGCCCTTCCACAGCACTCTGCACTTGCTCAATGGCCTTGTGGACAAAGTGGCCATGGTTGCAGGGGTGGACACAATACACTGGTCCAACAAGGACTTCTCACCAAGCCTAATGTAGTTATTGCCACTGCTGATGAATTTTCAGCAGCAGTGACCAATCCTGAGACTTGTTATAACACTACTGCTATGGTTTGACTTTGTCCCCTCTGAAACTCATGTTGAAATTTGATCCCCAATGTGGCAGTGTTGGGAGGTGGGGCCTAGTGGAGGGTGTTTGTGTCATGGGGATAGATACTTCATGAATGGATTAATGCCCTCCTGAGGGAGTGAATTTGTTCTCACTGTTGTACGAATGGATTAGTTACCAGAGAGTGGGTTGTTATAAAAGTGAATTCTGCTTCCCAGACTCTCTTGCTTCCTCTCTCTCTCTCCATGTGATCTCTTTGCACATGCCTGCTCGCTTTTCTGCTTCTCCATCATATTTGGACCCAGCATGTGGCCCTCACCAGAAGCTGGCCAGATGCAGCACTGTGCTCTTGAACTTCCCAGCCTGCAGAATCATGACCTCACTCAATGTCTTTTCTTTGTAAGCTACCCAGTCTC